AACCCACTGCTGGTTGAATGGCAAAGGCTGGCGATGTGACAGCAACGCTCATCTACCCAACGGATGCACGTGGCCGGAGGTGCTGGCCCAGGTCCTACGTACCGTTGTGGTGACGGAACTTGCTGTAGACAGACAAAGAGACCATAAAATATGTCTCATGTGCGTACAAACCACTCTGCTACAGCTTTCTAGTTTCATGGGAAGCCAAGAGGCAAGGTGTTCCTGCGTGCAAGGTGTTCACCGTGATTTATGTCTTTTCCTGTTACACTGGTTTCTGAAGAACAAGGGCTTTTAGCCATGGATAAAAACAAGACTGAAAAGGCAGTGTAAAAGCTGGGTTTCAATGGATTGCCCAGAAGCCGCTGTCTGTTTTTTTTTTTTTTCCTTTCACAGCGCAACGCTACACTTCTTTGCCTGGGTTTTTGTTTGATTTTTCTTCTTCCTGGTGCTTTTGTAAAAATTGGAGGCACGTGGCCAGCCCTTATAAGGCGCCAGTAGTGTAGGGGCATCATGCAAGATTCCCATTCTTGCGACCCGGGTTCGATTCGGCTGGCGCAACGGACCCCTTGCTTCCTGAGGGATGACACTGTTGACCCTTTTGAGGAATCGCTTGGTCTGGCCACTGCGTCTCCTGCAAAGTTCACAGCTGTGGCACGCAATGTCATTACCATGTCCAGTGTTTTGCCTGTCGCCGCCTCTTGTTCTTGATTATTCAATGCTCATTTCCCATGCAGACCGCACCCACATAGCTACTTTCAGCTTCCTTCCTGGTGATCTAGTGGTTAGGATTCGGCGCTCACCACCACGGCCCAGGTTCGATTCCTGGACAGGAAAATTTTTTCAGTCTCCGTGCGCCGTGTTGCCTGCGGGATTGCACTGCATTGGTGACTCTCCTATGATACAATTCCTTCGGGTTTCAATGGATTGCCCAGAAGCCGCTGTCTGTTTTTTTTTTTTTTTTTTTTTTGTGTGTGTGTTTCTGTGTGTGTGTGTGTTGGTATCCCTTTCACAGCGCAACGCTACACTTCTTTGCCTGGGTTTTTGTTTGATTTTTCTTCTTCCTGGTGCTTTTGTAAAAAAATTGGAGGCACGTGGCCAGCCCTTATAAGGCGCCAGTAGTGTAGGGGCATCATGCAAGATTCCCATTCTTGCGACCGGGTTCGATCCCGGCTGGCGCAACGGACCCCTTGCTTCCTGAGGGATGACACTGTTGACCCTTTTGAGGAATCGCTTGGTCTGGCCACTGCGTCTCCTGCAAAGTTCACAGCTGTGGCACGCAATGTCATTACCATGTCCAGTGTTTTGCCTGTCGCTCGCCTCTTGTTCTCGATTATTCAATGCTCATTTCCCATGCAGACCGCACCCACATAGCTACTTTCAGCTTCCTTCCCTGGTGATCTAGTGGTTAGGATTCGGCGCTCTCACCACCACGGCCCAGGTTCGATTCCTGGACAGGGAAAATTTTCAGTCTCCGTGCGCCGTGTTGCCTGCGGGATTGCACTTCGTACAGGACTCTCCTATGATACAATTCCTTTCGGGTTTCAATGGCTACGCAGGTCACATGCGCAGCCGCTGGGCCAGCACCTCCGGGCCACGTGCATCCGTTGGGTAGGATGAGCGTTTGCTGTCACATCGCCAGCCCCTTTGCCATTCAACCAGCAGTGGGTTTTGCCGGTTGACAGGAATAAAAGGGCACTCCTTCGAGCCGGATTTGAACCAGCGACCTAAGGATGGCTAACAAGCGAACCTACAGTCCTCCGCTCTACCAACTGAGCTATCGAAGGCAGGTGTGGAGTGGCCCTCGTTGCTCGTTTTCACCGTAGTCCCTTTCACAGCGCAACGCTACACTTCTTTGCCTGGGTTTTTGTTTGTATTTTTTCTTCTTCCTGGTGCTTTTGTAAAAAAATTGGAGGCACGTGGCCAGCCCTTATAAGGCGCCAGTAGTGTAGGGGCATCATGCAAGATTCCCATTCTTGCGACCCGGGTTCGATTCCCGGCTGGCGCAACGGACCCCTTGCTTCCTGAGGGATGACACTGTTGACCCTTTTGAGGAATCGCTTGGTCTGGCCACTGCATCTCCTGCAAAGTTCACAGCTGTGGCACGCAACGTCATTACCATGTCCAGTGTTTTGCCTGTCGCTCGCCTCTTGTTCTTGATTATTCAATGCTCATTTCCCATGCAGACAACACCCACATAGCTACTTTCAGCTTCCTTCCCTGGTGGTCTAGTGGTTAGGATTCGGCGCTCTCACCGCTGCGGCCCGGGTTTGATTCCCGGTCAGGGAAAACATTTTCAGTCTCCGTGCGCCGTGTTGCCTGCGGGATTGCATTTTGTACAGGACTCTCCTATGATACAATTCCTCCCACAGTTGCACTCTGCTTTCTACCAGACAGCCAACTTTCAATCCACTCAGTGATAGCTCCTGTAATTCCTGCACATTTCATTTTCATTATGAGCATCCCATGTGGTACTTTGTCAAATGCCTTTTCAAAGTCTAAACAGACAATATCATTCGCTTGATTTGCATCTAAACACACTGTAGCTTCCTCAACAAAGTCCTGGAGGTTTATTAAGCATGACCTCCCGCTGCCAAAACCATGCTAGCTATCATTTAAGATACCATTTTGTTCAAGGAATAATTCCAAGTTGTCCCTAATAATGGATTCCAGCTCTTTGCATGTGATACAAGTCAAGCTGACAGGCCTATAATTTCCTGGATCAGTCCAAGATTTTAGGTGCTGTGTAACAGCTATTGACTCTGTTATCTTTAACAGGTACATGGAAAGGTTACTTGTAATGTTGAAAGAAATGGTTTACTAACAAATGCTAACAGGACGCTGGTACCAGTTTCAAAGAAACAAAAACACATGCTCAAAAACTTTTTCAATTTTCTTGGCAAGTTCTCATAGGGATTTCCTCCTAGAATATCATGTACACTCCCTAACTTTAAAACTATACCTCATATTTTCAAGTGTGAGCCTGGACATGCATTACAGACAAATGGCTTCATGTCTGTAAGTGGCTGCAGCTCAGGCATCTTCTTGGCCATCCTCTCCAAATATGGAAAATCATTTACTTTACAGGGTGGCATAATGGCATAACAGGTAGAGAGGCCAACCAGGAATTCAAATGTTACTCCTTCCAACACCGGCATCAATAGGAGGGTGTATTGTAGCTTTCAGTTTGTACCACTGTAGAGTGGTTGGTATTATATCTACAGTATATCCACCAGCTCTGACCTTGAGCAAGGCACGGAACCCCCAAACTGCTTCAGGAGTCAACATTAAAGACTGTTGCAACCATAGACCTATCAACAGTTCAAACTTCACAGTGAAGATTTTGTGGTGGGTGTGCCTAACTGAACTTACTCTCCATGCAAAATAATGTATACATGAAGCAAAGGAAAGATATGTCATGGCCTTTAATGACAGACAAGGTCCCAAGGCACACATTCTCTGCAGCACATACGATATCGGCACAAAGGCATTAGACAAAACGGTCTCGCAACCTATGGATATCTCCGGCTCTCACTGCATCCCACAGCAGACTCAGAACATTGCATATTACAATACAAAATAAATTAACACTTCCTGTTAGAGGCATTGTGAAAATACATTTCTAAAATAGCATCACATATATCACATTAAATGAAATTACAACTTCCTCTGGGTGATCATATTGCAGTTTAACAATTTGTTTGATAAGAAAATACATTGTTTCCTTTAATTTGCTATTCAAATGAAAATACAAAGAAAAATACTCTCATAATGATCTTACAGTAATACAACATTCTTTAAACATCAACATACAATTTATTACCATACCTGTAGCAACGGAAAGATATGTCACGGCCTTTAATGACAGACAAGGTACCGAGGCACACATTTTCTGTAAGGAGAAACATATCTTTTAAAACGGCTTCAGGACTCCTGCAGTAAACTCAATATATGCAGGGAAAAAATACAATAAAGAACACAAAGACAGTATATAATATAACAAAGGCATGAGACAAAACGATCTCTCCACCTTACTGATATCTCCTGTGTCACAAAAAGAAAATGGAACCGGCTTATAGCACAGCTAACGATGGACTGCGGACTCTAGACAGCGGCTACATACAGCAAGGAAAAACATAAAGAGGGTAACTCTGAAGTAAATATTTAGCGACATACATCTCAGATTACACAGGTACTACATTATCTTAACTACAAAACCAATTTATTTCATGCCTTTACTTCGTCTACCGATTTCTTACATCAATTCTTCGAGCAGGCTACATGCAAGAAGAAGCTGGACCTGCGTATAATAAATACCTTTGGCCAGTCGGATTTTACAAACACAAAGGTTAATGCGGCTACACACTCGCTACTTACAGTGTACAATCTCTTCCATGGTTTTACTTCCCAAATAACACGCGAACTGAGCATTAAACAATATTTTCACGAACGAGTAATTGTTTGTGAAGAGAGACATGACACGCGTACCCGCATATTCTTATTGCATCCCACGGCAGACTGAGAAGCCGGGTTCAACTATCGGGAGAGAGAGAGTAAGCTCGACCGATCCAATTGACATATTATAACTGAGTGGACATGTACAAATTCAATCAAATGCTTAAAAATAAATATACCTTTATCTCATATGGAAGGAAATTTTATAAAAATTGCTAGAAGCTGTATTAAAGGCACAGCTTGGGAAAAAGAATAAAAACTTAACAATCGAACTCCCCGTGAGAGTTAGTTTCACCCATTTATTCCCGCGAAAGGTGATCTGAATAATTGCAGGGAACAACAAAAGAAAATGGTGACAAAATGCACACATTTTGGAGAAAAGAACATGATAAACCAATCTAGTAAACGAATAAAGTGAATGTTTCCATAAATTGTAGACAGAATGTGGGGTCAAAATAGATTATATCAACTGCTAGGTTTGGAATCTGAGCTGCGCTTTAGCTTAAGATGTAGACAATAGCAGCAGACTTTCTAAATGTTTTTATAATGATTAAGATCCGTGAAAAATTGGGCTCCTTGTGGCACCCACATTTGGCGTGTCAGTAAGGTTGAAGCCATCACATTGTAGGCATGGATGGCTTTGCCGAGAAATTTAATTGTTGATCTCGTTAAGGTCTCCTTTCTTCCAGGAGAATTACTTCATCAGAAACCGACTGAGGAACTCGACCAGATTTACGATCTTCAATGATTTGACCATCTCTAGCTGGCTGTTCATCTAAAAACATTCAACATTGCATTTATGTTGAACTTACATTGTAGCTGTGCAAAATCGAAGCAGAAATAAGTAATAACGGTGAATGGTAAAATGATTTTTTAAAAAAAAGAATCTATGTGTTCTGTGCTGCAGACATTTGGTGATGTGTGTTGTTTTCAGCCCCAAAGAGGAAAGCAGAACAAGATGACATGGAGGTGCCTGAGAATTTAGAGCTGAAAAGGTCATTGCAGGCCTGTCTGGAGGAGCCACAACAAGAGAGCCCCAAGATCTATGAGGACAAACCATCCCATCTCAAGTCCAGAAATGTCAAAGGCATTCACAAAGGTTAGGGCTACAACACTGAAATCAGGCAATACTGATGAGCCATCCTGCTTTCTCATGGGCAGATAAACTCAATTACTTTATTGTATGTAACAGTCATAAATAAGTCATAAATGCATTGCTACTTTCCATTGCAATTTTCTGTTGAAAGTGCAATGGTCTGTTTACAGCCACCTTAACTCTGTATCATGCAGTATTATAGAAATTATATGAGATTTAGACTCATTGTTGTATGATGTAATGAAATAATTGCTTCATATTCCATACTCACTTTCACATAAAAGGGGACCGACGATCACTGATATGGTAACACAGAGAAAACAGTTGAAGTCCATTTCAGTTACAATAGTTTCTGTTCTGTGTTTTAGCATGTGTAGACAATTTCTACAAGAATTACTTGGACGCGGAGGATTTGGTTCTGTCTATCGATGGCCTGTCTGTAAGTAGAAAAGTATGAAAACTACCACTGTTGTCATTTTATTCTTTCCCTTAGCTTAATCTGTCCAAAGCTGGTTATTCATCTTTTTAATTATGTTTGGTTGATTCCTTGTATCCTGTTTTAAAATCTCATCACTTTTTGTAAAATGGCAAAGCAGTAATTATATACAATACAGTGGCGGCTGCTGGTCTTTCAAAGAGGGGAAGCTCATTGTCGGCTTACATCATAAAATTTGTCAGTTTATTTATATGTAAATTCTGCCATCCGTTCCTTTTCAAGAAAATGGTCTGTGACCCTATCGTACCAAGTAGGCGTCTTTTCCAGGGACTTGACCAGTGTCCTCTCAATGGCCAGCAGAGCTAGGCTGCTTAGACGGCCTTGGCCCATTGTGTTGCGGGTGTAAGACTTAAGCCTTTTTAAACAGGAGAAGCTCCTTTCTACACCCGCAGATATAGCTCCAATTGTTGCCACTAACGATAACAGTTTGTACAGCTGAGGCATTGCATTGTCCAACTCCATGTCTTTTAGAAAAACCAAGAAATCACACAGCTTCCCCCTGTTACCCTGTAAGTCCTGATTTGAATACAGGACTAGAAGTTCAGACCTTAGTCTCCCTGAATCAAAGTATTGGCCATAACTTTTCAGGACACTCTGGAATGCCTCCTCTGGAAACACTTCTCTCATGTCATCAAACTTCCCTGGATTGACTAACTCTAAGAAGCGCAACCTTTCCAAATTTGAAAAATGCAGAGGAATCTGCTCCATGAGAGTATCAAGGATGGCCATGTACAGATGTCTGTAGTGCTCCTGGGGATCCTGGAATTGGGAGAGACGGCGCTTTCTCATGGGCTCATCTCGTGGGTCAGATGTGAGACCTGCTGCTTTGGCATTAACAGCTTGGAAAGCCCCTCTGACCTCTTCTCTTTGACAAAAGCAAGAAGAGACTCAATCCTTTTCTTGCAGTAGAGAACATCCATGGCCCTCTGCTGGACGATATCAAAGACCACATCAGTTTCTGAGAAGATTTGTTCATATGTATACAACATGAACACAAACTCAAAATCCTCCAGTTTCATTACAAAACCTTTGGCACAATCCAGTGAGTCATCATCCATTGTCTTATCTGCAATGATGTTATAAAAAGTTTGCAGGAGGCCATCATAGTTGTTTGCCGCAGTGCTCACTATCCGTGATGAAAAATTCCATCGAGTAGGAGCATTTCTGGGCAACCTTGAACAGCCTGCAGACTCAAGAAAAGATGTCCTCTTTGTGGATTTGGAAAAAATGCGGCAAACCCAGAGAGTGATGCAAAAAATATTCTGCACTCAGACAAGCATTTAGCCCCCTGTGACAGCACCAGATTAAGTCTGTGTGCATAGCAATGCACAAACATTGCACTGGGGGCAATTGCCTTCACTTTGGCCTGCAGACCATTGAGGGCTGAAGCCATGACAGCAGCCCCATCGTATGTCTGTGTCACAAGTTTCTCGCTAAAATTGTAGCCCTGCATGTTTTCATTTAATACTTCAAAAACAGACTGAGCATCGCACCCCTCAGAAACATCAAAAAAACCAATAAAGCGCTCCTGAATTTTACCTGCACTATCAACATAGCGAACAATGACAGAAAGTTGGGCACAGTAAGCAATATCAGTTGTTTCATCCACCTGCCATCCAAAAAAGGGAGCAGCCTGAATTTCACCTCTGATCTCATCAGAAACAGTGGCTGCAAGAGCAGAGAGCAAGTCATTTTGGATAGAATGAGACATACCAGAAAACACAGCTGATGACTGGAATTGTGTGGCCAGGGCAGAGTCATATTTAGATAATGTTTCTGTGAACTCCCTGTAATTCGCCTTGTTGGATGATTCACTACCCTCATCATGCCCCCTAAATGATAGCTCCTGCCGGCCAAACAAGGAAGTCAATAAGGCGGTTTAGGAAGGCCCTGTTTTGTTTGACTGTTTCATTATGTTTTGCCACTTGAATGCGAGCACCTTCATTAATTGCATGTTCAACCCTGACCTTGCCCAGGCAACTTAACCTTGCACGTGTACTCACATTTTCATTGCTCTTTTCATCCCTTTTATATGCCCAGTCAAAGTTAGAGAGATCCCCAAAACCCAATGTTGACCAGACAAGACATCCCTGATATGGTTTCATCAAGAGGCATGGCCAACAGTACATTTTCTTTGTCACAGCACTTCCAGTCAGCCAGCTAACTTTGTCATACTAGGAGAGCTGAAAAGACCTGTTACTTTTCCCCACTTTTTGCACCAAATCAATTTCAGGTGTGGATCTGCCCTGCTGTTGAATTGTACGTTTCTCCTCGTAAGGCAGACTATCAAATGGCTTTGCCAAAATCAGGTTGATGATATTAGCATTGTCTGCCATCGTGTGCACCTTGCTAGCTAGCTAGCTCACTCCAACCTAGCCAACAGTATGACTGATTGAAACGATGTAACGAGACGATATTAACTTGAACATGGAAATGTTGAAATTATGTGAAACTGAAACAGGGATACAGAATGAGTGTGTTTTATTTACAGTGTTAAAAATTAACAAGTAATTTCGCCAAGCAAATGCCAACAAATGGGTTGCAGTTTATCTTTCGACTTCACTTGCAAAATCCGCGGTGGGACTAAGCTGAGCTGTCTAGTGACGCAGTATATCTCAAAATAGCTGTCAATCAAAACGGGATTCAGCTTTTCGACTGATCCTCCAATCATCATGCAGAAGCTCAGCATCCAGGCCAGCCGAGGCCCGCCCACAGCTCCATTCACCCCCAGAGACGCTGAGCGTCCGGGGGTGGGACAAAATCATGGCATTTATCCAATGACAGTTGAGTTTCGAGGCAATGAAAAAAACTGTTCCATGCAGTCCCATTGAACTGCATGGACGCTCAGCTTCTACGGGCAAATGCATTGACAATAGACCGTATAAGAAAATGGCACTACGGGAATGTATGAGAAGTTAGCAACATCGAATCGGTTGATTTGTGATAAGTAGCTGATTCTGGACGATCTCGTCTTCGAGATGAACGTGTTCCATCGCATTTTTAGTCAATGAAATGCTAACACAACTGTACATATTTGACCATTTAACTTTTGACATTTTTGGGGAAGCTGAGCTTCGCTTGCAGTCTTAGAGAAATCACCTCTGATACAATATCATTTGTTCTTGTTTATCATCATGAAGCCATAATGCATTTCTCAGTGTTGCATTTTACTTTGCTCACATCACCCATGTTTTCCTCAGGTGGCACAAAAATGTGATGATGATGAAATTGAGCTGAGAAGAACCTCATAATTTATGGAAGCCCAAGTTCATGAATGAGAAAGCACATTCAACCAGCAGTGGGTTTTGCCGGTTGATGGGAATAAAAGGGCACTCCTTCGAGCCGGATTTGAACCAGCGACCTAAGGATGGCTAACAAGCGAACCTACAGTCCTCCGCTCTACCAACTGAGCTATCGAAGGCAGGTGTGGACTGGCCCTCGTTGCTTGTTTTCACCGTAGTCCCTTTCGCAGCGCAACGCTACACTTCTCTAACTGTTTTTTTGTTCTTCTTCCTGGTGCTGTTGCAAACAAATTGGAGGCATGTAACCATCCCTGTATATGGCGCCAGTAGTATAGGGGCATCATGCAATTTTCCCATTCTTGCGACCGGGGTTCGATTTCCGGCTGGTGCTGGTGCCCCTGCCTTCAGACAGATGAAGCTGTTGACCTTTTCGAGGAATCCTTTGGTCTGGCCGCCGCATCTCTTGCAAACTTCACAGCCGTGACACGCAACATCCTTACTGCATCCAGTGTTTTGCCTCTCTCTTTGCCTCTTCTTCGCAATTATTCAATGCTCATTTTGCATGGGGATACCGCCCACTGGAATATCTCAGCTTAGTTCCCTGGTGGTCTAGTGGTTAGGATTCGGCGCTCTCACCGCCGCGGCCCGGGTTCGATTCCCGGTCAGGGAAAAATTTTTGAGTCTCCGTGCGCGCTCTGCCCTGCCTGTCCTTACGGATGCTCCCGCAACTCCCGCCTCACTTGGCGGACAGGAGTGGACCCCTCGCGAAGCCTCCCGCCACCCAACAGCAAGAAGAGGGGTGCGGTGTAAAGCGAAACTCCACCCATCCAAATGCTCCCATGTACTGCTATGCAGATGTGTTTCATTCCCTGTGGGCAATAGTCTGACCATACCTGAGACGTGCTGCAGCACATGAAGCCAGCAAGCCAGACTCGCTGCATGACGTTCACAGGAGGTTGCCGGCGAAATGGCTTTCATAAAGCTGGTGTCCTTGCACTCTGAGCCATTCGCACCTTTCGGAGTGGCGATTATCTTGGCAGTATAGTGACTTTTGTTTGAGTCCCTGCTCACAGAGGCGTCTCTCTGAGAACAGTGGTCAGAATATGACATCAGTTGCCCATAAATTTTCATTATTTTAAGAAGAAGCAACATTTTACAAATATTTTGTTTCTTCTTGTATGACTTGATCTATACACTTTTAATTCGATGGCCTTGAGCATGTCCTGTTAGGACTGTTTCCAGAAGTTTTCTACTGATCAGACCCAAAGGCAATGCAAGGGTGCTGGCCGGTAAGCAGTAAGACATCAGGTAAGACGTCTATCTGCCGCCTGTCAATACATTCAATGTAACAGTTAGGTGGGTATCAAGAAGAGAGTGGATTAAAAATAAATCAAGGCCAGGCAAGAGGGTGCACACCCCTTTGAGTGGCTGGCAGAAGGGGTGTGGCACCACAGTCCATGATTCCGACCAATAAAACAGTGCAATTTCTGTGACAAAGCAGGTCATGTCACAGAGGACTGTCGTAAAGCTGAAGATGATGTGACAGCGTAAAACAGGCAATAAGAGAACAGTCCAGTAAATTCAAAACCAACCAGCATAAGAATGCATATATGACAGCACAAACAAACAGAAAATACAGCATCGTCCAGACGCATGGAGGACAGCCACAGCAGTGCCTTCCACTGATCCCTTAGCCAAATGCAGTCCTAAATCTCATTATGGGTGTGGGGACTTCATATCCCTAGTGAGTTTATTATTTATTTATTTATTTTATTATTTTTAAGCAACAACCATTTGAAAATAAGGAGCAACCTTAGAGACTGGCTGTATGATGTATTGCTACCGCCAAAGCAGTGCCTTCCAAGCTGATATTGCTAATCCCTGAGTCAAATATCGTCTTAAATCTCAACCACTTGCATTATCACTCTGCCTGGGCTGAACACAAAAATAACTGTGAGCAATTTGATGTGGAATTGTGGATTGAGGATGCCCAGCTGATGTAACTATTCTATTCCTTACTGGTAACTCTTTAGTTAACACATACCAGATCACAAAACAGCCACAATATTCAGCATGGCTAACCAAGCAAATTCTCCAGGAAAGAGCTGAGCAGGGTGTCCAGCTCATCCATAAAGATTTCCCAGAGGCCCTGGGGGGATGACAGATGGCAGCAATAAAGCGTTTAGCAGGATAGGTGATGGTAACAGAGTGGTATTCGAGGTGTAGGGTGTAAGAATCCCACTACACACACATGTAGACCTTACTAAATTCAGACTGTGTCAGCACTGTGCTGCTGTGGGGGCTGAGCTGTGTGCGCTACTATGCAGATGGTGCTATAAGCGCAGCGGATTACCAAAGCCTGAGCCAGCTCCTCACCCCAGCATTCCTCCTTCACTGTTGCGGTGGGCTCCACTCCTAGCCGTCTGTATCTGGAATTGTGGTGGGGACTGAGAGTGGGAGGGAGGGCCATTAGAACGTTATCAATGTTTTTACACTACATAAATATTTTACCAATTTTCTTAAAATAACCATTAAATCATATTCCATGGCATTTGCATCAGGTTGCTAAGATCAGAAAATGCTAAGTAAGAACTACCAACCAGCCTTTTGCTTTTTTCAGTCGCAAATAGGTTCCCCATCAACCACAAGGGGTGACCAGCAGGCAATGGTTATTTGTCTCACTGCTTACACCACAGCCAAATGACTGCCATCCATAAACAAAAACTACTCACCCAGCAGCTCCTTTTCATTTGCTTCTGTTTTGCATTTCCTCTAATTTCAAATGTTGAGTTGTATTAGTGGACCCATCTTCATCATTTCAACAAACTTAAAAACATTTGACATACAAGACATGAATTCCCCCTTAAGCGCTTTTGTTACCAGACCAGTGGGGTTGCAATACTCCCTGTAACCCAGCTTCAGCAGGACAGCTGGAGCCAGGGGTGGAGCTGCAGCTGTCCCAGGGTGGGCCGGTCCTCTGCGCTGGGTCTCAGGCAGCACAGGATGAAGTCCCTCAGCCCTGTTACAGAGAAACCAAAAACATGTGATTGGTCAAAGAAGACAATGGGGAGTGTCTACACACAGCCCCTCCCCCTCCTGAAGGCTCCTTACCTGCTGACAGTCCTGCAGGTAAAGTCACCTTCTGCATCCTCTTGGGGGTGAAGGTGGTGAACGGAAGCTGGCCACAGACCGTGATTCCTACAGACCACACAGTTCCAGGGCCTGCCAGGAACTTCTCCTCCTTGAACCACTCCAGGGGTTGGTATCACTCAGTCCCTGATAGACAGACACATCGTGTCATATTATAAATACTGCCCACAGCTTGGCATCAAGGGTAGTTTTTGATGTATTTACAAGTAATGGTTGAAATGAAATTATAAACAAATCATAAACCCTATTAGGGTGGAGTTCTACTCAGTTGTCAACCTTTTTAAACCAATCAGACGATTTTCCGGAATGTAATTTCCTCGCACTGACCAGAGAATTCCGTGTATGGAGTGTCCTTCAGCAGATCCCCACAACCGAAGTCGATCAGTTTGATGTCTTTTGTGTCAGTCTGTATCAGGATGTTCTCAGGCTTCACGTCCCGGTGCACAATCCCGCTGTCCTCACAGTGCTGCATGGCCCCCAGCAGGTGGCGCGTGATATTGCATGCCTCATCCTCGTTAAGGACGCCCCCTGATCCTGGCAGTTGGAATAGAGGTCCTTGCAGGGGTTGGGGCGCTCCATCGCCATGACGTAGGATGACGGCCTGTCAAACCAATCATAAAGCTTGAGGATTTTGGGGTGAGATGACTGGTTGTTCACAGTCCTTATCAGCCCCACCTCCCTGGGCATGGGTCCTTCAAGTCCAGGCTGTGGAGAGAAAAAGGCAGGAAGTGTGTTGAGAGCTGATATGCACTCACTCAGAATGCCATCACTCAGCTGTAGCAGCACACCAAAGCATGTCATAGCATAGCTGGCTTAGTCAGTAGGTAACAAGCTAAATGCCTGGAAATGTTTTCATGTCGAGTTGTTGTCCAACTGCTATTCTGACTCATGGTGCTCCATTAACTTGGGCTTCCATAAATTATGAGATTCTTATCAGCTCAATTTCATGATCATCAAATTTTCGTACGTATTTCAGGGCCACCTGAGGAAAACATGGGGTATGTGAGCAAAGTATAATGCAACACTGAGAAATGCATTATGGCTTCATGATGATAAACAACAAGAAAAAATGATCTTGTGCATAATAACTGGTTTACCATTTTACAAAAAGTGATGAGATTTTAAAACTGGATACAATGAAACAAAGAAACGTCATTAAAAAGATGAATAACCAGCTTTGGACAGATTAAGCTGAGAGAAATAATACAATGACAACATTGGTAGTTTTCATATTGACTGGCTACTTCAATTTTTCATACAGACAGGCCATCTGATTTGCGGGTCCCTGCATAGACGGAACCAAATCCATCCGCATCCAAGTAATTCGCCTTTCTTGTTGAAGTTGTTTACGCATGCTAAAACACAGAACAGAAACTATTCTTACTGAAATGTACTGCAACTGTTTGCTCTGTTACCATATCAGTGTTTGTCTGTCCCCTTGTATGTGAAAGTGAGTATGGAACATGAAGCAATTATTTCATAACATCATGCACATCAACAGTGCAATGCCTTGGATGCTGTGATCCGCTGCCTGTGAGTGTGGCCCATCAGGAACTGAATTTCTCTGTTTAAAGTGTGATGTTGCCATTCACAAATGGAATGTATTTCATGACGTAGAGGTCCGCGGTGTTGCGTGATGAAAGTGGCCTGCACCAACTCTGTAAGTAAGGTATATTCAACGAATTCAGAAGTTCTTGTTGATCTTTTGCAAATATAGTTGATATGTTTGTTTTCAGAATGCACACTTCAATGTGCAGTTGTCGTATATATGCCAAAAAACTGCATGTTGAAAACTTTTTCCTGCAGTGTGTCTGCTTCCGATTCCGCCGCCAAAGAGCATCCGCTCCTGCTCTCCATCCCGGCAACCCACCATCAATGCAGGAAAGCAGATTGTGTTGGTGACTATCAATGGTATGTAGTAATTTCTTTAGTCCCTAATTTAGCACAGTAATGGTTAACAATTATCCTACACAAACTGTTGAAGATGTGTTGAAGATAATATGCAACTGTTTAATTCTATGTCGTGGCAAGTCTCTCCAGCAGTTGGCCCCCAAATGATTCTTAGAATGTTTCTTTTTGTCTTCGGGATGATATAATCTATAATCATGCCATTTGTGAGCTGTCCATCCTGCCCTAGCAAGTGGACACCTGACATCAGATACTGGCCAGCAACCACCAGTTTCCATACTTTGTATATGTGACAGGATGGTTTTAATTCCACCAACTTTCAGCAGTGGGGGCAGTTCTTTGACCATTTTGTTTTGTAGTTCCCTGCATTTATGAAGGAGATCACCTTTCGCGGGCATAAATGGGTGACACTAACTCTCATTGGGAGTTTGAGTGTAAAGGTTTTGTTCTTTTTCCCAAGCTGTGCCTTTAATGCATCTTCTAGCAATTTGTATAAAACCTACTTCCATATGAGATAAAGGTACATTAATTTTTAAGCATTTGATTGAAGCGAGTGTGCATCCGTATTATCCTATGTGTTTGTAAAATCCATCTGGCCAAAAGTATTTATTACATGCAGGTTAGCCTTTTCCAGCTACTTGTTGCGTGTAGCCTGCTCGGAGAATTGATGTAAGAAATCGGTAGATGAAGTAAAGGCATAAAATAAAAGATAATGTAGTACCTGTGCAATCTGACATGTATGTCGCTAAATATTTACACTTGAGTTACCCTCTTTCTGTTGTTACTTGCTATATGTAGCCGTTGTCTAAATTAAAGTTCACAATACCTCGTTAGCTGTGCTATAAGCCGGTGCCATTTTCTTTTTGTGACACAGGAGATATCCGTAAGGTTGAGAGATCGTTTTATCTAATTGCCTTTGTTATATCATATGGGGTGCATGTCTGCAACTGCCTTTGTGTTCTTTATTGTATTTTTTTTCCTGCATATATTGAGTGTACTGCAGTAGTCCTGTAGCCGTTTTAAAAGATATGTTTCAACTTATAGAGAAAGTGTGCCTCAGGACCCTGTCTGTCATTAAATCTTTCCTTTGCTACAGGTGTAATAGTAAATTGTGTGTTTATATTTAAAAATGTTGTACTACTGTAAAATTAATTAAAAGAATATTTTTCTTTGTATTTTCATTTAAATAGCAAATTAAAGGTAACAATGTATTTACTTACTGAACAAATTGAAAACCACCATACAATCGGAAAAAGTTGTAATTTTATTTAATGTTATATATGAGATACTATTTTTAAATGTATTTTCACACTGACTCTTACAGGAAGTGTTAATTTATTTTGCATTGTAATATGCAATGTTCTGAGTCTGCTGTGGGATGCAGTGAGAGCCGGAGATATCCGTAAGGTTGCGAGACCGTTTTGTCTAATGCCTTTGTGCTGATATCGTTGAGAAGAAGAGGGGAGCAAGAGGCAAACACCGGGCACGATAAGGACGTTGCATGCCGCAGCTGTGAACTTTGCAGGAGACGCAGCGGCCAGACCGAGCGGTTCCTCAAAAAGGTCAACAGTGTCATTCTTCAGGAAGCAGGGGGCGTGTTGCTGCCAGCCGGGAATCGAACCCAGGTCGCAAGAATGGGAATCTTGCATGATGCCCCTACACGAGTGGCGCCTTATAAGGGCTGGCCACGTGCCTCCAATTTTTTTACAACAGCACCAGGAAGAAGAAAAAAAAACAAACAAAAAACCAGGCAAAGAAGTGTAGCGTTGAACTGCAAAAGGGACTACGGTGAAAAATAGTACTGAGGGCCAAGTCACACCTCCCTTCGATAGCTCAGTTGGTAGAGCGGAGGACTGTAGGTTTGCTTGTTAGCCATCCTTAGGTCGCTGGTTCAAATCCGGCTTGAAGGAGTGCACTTTTATTCTCGTCAACCGGCAAAACCCACTGCTGGTTGAATGGCAAAGGGGCTGGAGATGTGACAGCAAACGCTCATCCTACCCAACGGATGCATGTGGCCTGGAGGTGCTTGCCCAGCGGCTCCGCATGTGACCTGCTTAGCCATGCCATGGGTGCGTACCGATACTTGCAAAGTGTGTCCTCTTTTCCTCCACCATCACCTCGTCTCCCACCTCTCTCCAATACTTGGAGTTTATTTATTCCTTGTAGAAATGCTTATGTTACATCATGAGCAGAATGCGAGAAACTGACATAAATATTTTAATGCAGGAACAGGGCTGGTGGTGTTAGAGAAGCGTGATTGGCTTTGGTATCCGCCAGTCGTTCAAATTATTACTTCATCAATATCCGACGTCGACTTTGATGACGAGCTTAATTGGATTAGCTGTTCCAAC